ACTGGTAATTTGGTTGTGGTTGTTGAAGAAAAATGTTCGTCCGCACAACAACACCGAAAACGAGACCAACACCGCACAAAACATTACCGCAAAAGATGCAAAAATGATAATATGAGCGCGTGATAGGGCGCACAAACGCGACAAACCATTATAAATCAGTGAAGTAAATGCATTTTCGCATTAACTCACCAGCATTTAAGAAAATTTAAATGCACTGTCGTTGTTCGCGCATGCAACTGTACAGTATACTATTTATTTGAAAGAAAATTGGGCCATTGTGCAGCACTAAAGCTGCGAAAATGTTGTCATAAAACTTTAGCAAAACTATTTTCATACTCGAAATTAAGCAGCAGCCGTAGTAACCGAACCAAAAGAAGAAGAAAAAAAACGCACACACGAGCGCGCAACGTTCGTTATAATCGAGATGTTGTCATTCAATTCTTGTTATTGCAAATGAGCTATACATAATACTTTTACATCCAATTGTGCAAAATGGGGATTTTTCTCTGCTCTTTCTTTCTGGTTAGCACAAACTGATGACGTTTTGGATGAATGAATTTTCCATTTTGATTGTTCGCAAATGCAATTGCAAAAGAATCCCATTGAAAATGATCCAATGATTTTGGCTAAATGATCTCACCATCTCTCTCTCTCTCTCACTATCTCTCAATGCAAAACGAACACATATCGGTCGATCTTGATAATGTTTTTATAGTCTTGATTTTATTTATTTTATAACATCGCCGTTTGGTATTTATATTTGTTTTCGATATTTTTTCCCCGATATATTCCATATTCAAGAGACTGATGCTCATTAGTCGAAAGACAGTTTGGCAAGAGTTTGGCATGTGTATGACAAATGAAGAGATTGTACTGTATTGAAACAGCTGACACAACAGAAACTTTGCAGAAAATATAACAAAGAGATACCGAGACGAAAAGTGTGTTCATGTGCATTGAGAGGGAGATAGAAATATTAAGAACAAAAGATAATAAAGCGAATTACAACGATTGTATAAATGATTTTTGGTGGACAAATTGTGGTTTTTGCAATATACACACAGCCACATTCAATTCGTAATTGAATGACATTTGAATGAAGCGATAGAAAGAGAAAGCATATGCGATTATAGTAGCATTGTCATCAATGTTTTATCATCTTAGTAACTTTGTGCTTGTTAATATCCGTTCAACTGTTTGTGTATTTAAGTTGAATGATATCATGAAACTGCAAACTATATAATGTTGTGTCGGTTAATGTTGAATGGTAAAATATGAGTTTTGTTCGTTCAATGTCTCAAATAGTCATTTAAAGAAAGGAAATTAGTAGATCAGGACATCATCCCTTTCTGCGGCATAAAATCCCAGATTTTTGATTTTATCATTATTCAAAACAAAATATCATCGAATCCCATTCATCGTCAATGAAAAACAGTGATGGTTTTTTCCTATCTGAATAGCGCTAGCTATTCGCAGCGCCTGTACAGCATTGCTGCCCAGATGCTGAATCGTAGCGGTTGCCGCACGCGCAACACACTTCGCTTGTACCACACAGAGCATTATACGTTCGCGTTCGTTCTCTGTTCGACATGCGTTTGTATACTGACTATGGTATTAGTGTATCATACTCTGTGAGCTCACTGGTTACTTAGACTATATGACAATATGTTGTGTGGTACAAAACGCGTGCGGCAACCGCTTCGATTCAGCATCTGGGCAGCAATGCTGTTCAGACGCTGCGAATAGCTAGCGCTATTCAGATAGGAAAAATCCATCACTGATGAAAAACTAATAACTTTTGCTACAAAAAATAAATCCATTTGAATAAAACTCGAACCCCACTCTCTTGTGTTTAAAATACACAAATTGCCGACAAAGTGATTGCAATCATAGCGGAGGATTGATGGTGAGCACTTCGTTAGAGCGAATTTTCCGATCATCATGGCGCATATCGGCACGTAAATCGATCGGAAATTGTTTCATTTAAATATAGCCGATAGATGCAGTAAACAGTAACGTGATTTTGGAATTGTGAACATCTTGATATGAGGAGTATGTGTGTGTGTGTGTGCGTATGTTGTGATGATTAATAACATATATCCCATCGATTGTTTATTTAAATGGTTGGCTATTTTTCATATGCGTGTGTGCATGGCGCGCATCATTTTCATCTGATGAAATTTTTTTCGTCCTCTTTTCACGTTTGAGAGAATCAATATGACTAATGCCAGACCATTTGGTTTCATTGCGTGTAAATTTTTATCTGTTCATCATGGTTGCCATTTTGGCGATAGTCAAACTAAAAAAAAAATACTAAAAGAAAACGCAATGTAATGTATTGTAATGGTGTGACTAAACAATATGCATGTGGCACGTTCCGCAACAATCAATAAGCCGCAACGGAAACATATACATAAATTTACAAAGGAAAAAAAGGGCAAATATTTAATGTAGAGTAGGAGTGCTGATCATCAACTGCACAATAGCACTCACTTTTCGATATTACATCTCGTGCCAAAAGAGACCAAAAGAAGAATAAGTAAAAAAAAAAAAAATTGGTGAAATATTTCATTTATAATAGCGATACATATTTGTATCTGGAATTCGATACAATTTTTTGTTGTTCATCTTTTACTTTAATTTGGGGAGCTTCCATCCAAATCCGTCACTCATTGTTTTTGGCATTCCGTGGTTATGTTCATATTTTTCTATAACAGGATTGATGCTGTACGCCTCCTAATGGCACACGCTATATCATTTGGCCGTTCATTTTACTCTGGATCTCTCACACTTGGTTCTATCGCCCGTTTAATACATATTTATAAAGATGTCATTTGTGCGTATTATTGACTTTGACATATAACAATGTGGACAAGTTAAGTGAAAGACAACAAAAGATCCATAAAAAGTTCGAAACGCGAAAGAAGAAAAAAAAAGTGCGCGCCAAACAAAAACACTCACAGCTGTACACAACAAAAACCAGCTCCGTACTTCACTCTCACTCAGCAATGCACATCAATGAGAGCTGGAGATCTGGAATGAGAGATGAGATGAAACAAGATAATGTTTGGTGTGGTAATATTGGCAAGCAGCTCGATGAACGCAAGCACCATTTGAAGTCATCACAAACCGTCGATGTGACCAAATCAAATGGGGGGACACACACAGGAAAATCGAAAAGAACGACCAACACGAACGCGTTCCAGTGAAGAGTCGCCTCTCGTCTATCTCTCCTTCAAATATGAGACAAGCACTTGAATCGCGTAAACGCTGTTCTTACTTCAATGTGATTTTAGTTCCGTTCGTTTTTTTTCTCTGTTCTCGACATCTTTCATATAGAGATATGCATGTTGTATATTCCCAAGTATATTCCGTAATAAATGCGCAAATACATAATTTTTATGTTGTCATTTCGACATTGAATCGCTGCTCTACACACATAATGATGGTAGAGAGAAAAAAACCACGACAACACAGATGACACATAGAGACAAACAAACATGAAACAATGGCATTCGTGTATTAGACAAATAGATGTGAAACAATGCAAAGGGAATGGGAACAATAATGACACTAAAAGACTTTGAAATGTATTGATTCAGATATAAAAATTCCAATGTCTTGTTTGTCTTTCTGATTTTGCCTCTTTCTTCTTTTTGCCCTTTATTGCAACGGCGTGTTTCTAGTTCAATTGAATTTTGGCCATTGATTACATACACACTGGAATTTCGATCAATGCAGTGCCAATAATTGCAACATCAAATTGCTTTAAAAGAAATTGGATAATATTCAAAAATATTTGATGAAAATTTTGTGAGAAAAAAAAGGTATGTCGGTTCGTATTGCATTTATGCAGTTGGATTTCTTTTTGGAATACATCTCATCTCTCGGATTTTATAGCATTTTTACAGAGTAAATGAAGTCGGGGACGAGATATAATGTGTTATACCGTATGCGTTAGTTTTTACTTCATTCTTTCACCCCAACACGAGTTCCATATATACATAGAGAATATTTCGTATCTTTTTACGTTTTTACCATTCTTTTGATTAAATGTAAATGATAGCATCATATCAACTATACATATAGATTGAGAAGCGTTACGTTTTGCCATTACTCATGGCGAATCTTTTGCTCATCTCTCTCTTTCGCTCTTTTATTCAGTCTTTTATGACTCCTGGGAAACGAAAAGATGAAAAAAAAAAAAACGAGAACCGTTATCGTTATCTGCAATTTTTATTTGCTGCTCCGTTTTCCCACTTTTGCTTGCTTCGTTTGCCTCATTTATATCTGTTTTGCTTTCCAACACTAAAATCACGTGTGTTTATACATGAATAAAAAGTACGGGTCGCATGTACACGGATATTATTTGCTACTGTGCTAAATGATGTATTTTAGCTCATCAATCGACCGGAAAAGTGAGGCCAAACGCGCCTCACTTTCAACGTTAAGAAATAGCATGGCTGGTTTACTGAAAGAGACAAAATAGAAGAGGCAAAAAAAATCCGCCGTTACTGAAAAACAAAATCGTCTATATAATTTACGGAAATGAAAAGGGAATTGAGAAACTGAGTGGATGAAAAGTGTGAGAGCCTCGAAAAGCAATAGACGCAGAGATAGAAATTGCAAGAGAGAGAGAGAGAGAGAGAGAGCGAAGCGCTGTTCAAGGCACTTGAACACACCAAAAATTAGATGAATGACATTGAATATATTATTTTTGATGATAATCATCGAGCAATTATGGAAAATGGTGTGTCGTCGCTCGCGCATTCGTTCGCCTTGCTTGCCCTTAAAATGAATGATGCAATCGGAAAGCGTTGACTTGCTGTTTTTATCGCAGTCAATTGTGTGTGTGCGTGTGTATGTTATTTTCCTCACTCGCCCATCGCAATTTTCTCTAATCCAGAAGACAAATGTCCACAAATATTTTTAATTTTTATCACCAACAAGGAATCTTAATCAAAGCCACTAAGTTTTTTGTTCTCTCTTTCTTTTTTCAGTCGTGTTTTTAGCCAAACATTTTTCGGAATTTGTATGGCGCCACCAGCTGAGATTATTGCTTGATTTGTTGTCGAGTTGTCGGTAAGTTTACCATTTTTCTTCGTATTTATGCGCATTTTTCTTTTCTGCTTCTATTTTTTTTTCAATGCCATCATATTCGGCATCCTTAATGCTATTGTTGGTTACTTTGTCGCGTATTCTTCTCTATCTCTATCTCTCTGTGGCGCAATAATATTTCAATAAATTCGCTTGCGTGACACATCTTTTATGCTTCATATTTTTCATTTCGGTGTCGTATGAGTCGTGTTCATATTTGTTTGCCTGATGAATAGATGCGTTGATTAACATAACAATAAGTGGCGAATAGTCATAAAAAAGCCGCATAATTCACATTACAAATGCATATCAAAATCGTACAATAAAACTGCCATGTCGAGATGATAAACACACTCGCTAACTCACTCGTTTGCTTTGCTGAATTGCCAACTTTACGTTTCCTTTTATTTTGGCATTTATGTGAATGCATATTTTAATGGAAAAATGATTTTCGATTGGCACGCACTAACCATATTCATATAACATTCATACATAATAAAATATCTATATAACGCAAGTTATCATCATTAATATTATGTTATTCGGGGTGGATTTTCTCTTTCTCTTCATATTTTGCAATTCTTTCATCATATCAGCTTTGCCACTTATACAGTGTTCTCAAACTGATTCGATTTTCGCATTCGATCTATTTTCCCATTTATTATTTCCATCACAAATTATTTTGGATTTTGCTTCAATCGCACATCTTCGATGACATGTCACGCCGAGAATGAAGGCATGTCTTTCAACAACAAAAATATGCCCATAAATTTTGAATTCACCAAAAATATGAAAATTCATATTCTGATCCGAGTGCACACACACACACACAAAGTGAAAGCAAGAGTGCGACAATGAATAAAGCCCGTCCAACATTGTCAAATCTATTGAATTTGTATGGTCTCTAAAAAATTCCATGCATAAATATTCGCTATTTTCGGTCGCTGACAGGCCGATTTTACCATTTATTTTGTTTTCAATCCCATTTTTGATGTGATTATTGTCTTAATATGAAACGGCAGTCTTTCGTGGTCGACGATATGCGAAAACCGACCACTACAATCGTTGATTGCCTCCACCAACGCAATTTCTATTTCCTGTTTTTATTGTTTGTGTGCGTGAATGTATATTTTGGCAAAATAACCGAAGTTTTTGCTATTGGTAATATGAATTGGAATTTTGCTTGCTTGCTCAATTCGATCGAATCAAATTAATTAATGTTGACAAGAGGAAAGTTTGTCGCCGGTTTTGCTCATTCTTTGACCGAACAACGAACAAAACAAACCTTTCCCGCTCCGAAGAACAAAATCAAACTAAGCAGCCGTTTTCCAATTTTCCGATATAGAATAATATGACATCATCAGTGAAGTCATTGTTATTATATTTGACACTCGATTGTCCTTTCGGTTTGGTATAAAAACCGAAATACTCTCGCTCTGTATGTAGTTGGGGTCGACAGCAGTGGGGGGCGAATGGGCACCAAAACTCGTTTCGCGTACAAAGTTCAAACAATAGATTTTCTTCGTGCATTTTTCATAAATCAGCTAATATTTTTACTTCAGTGATTCGGAACGTCGATACGAATCATCTAGCTGTTGTTCACAGTATCGGAAAATGCAATTGACTTTATATGAAATTGGTACCCCTCCAAAAATCTGTTGCAACAATATTATTATTATTTTTTTTGCCTCTTCTCTGAGAAGTTCTCTCTTGACAGCATTTATCGCAAATTTGTTTAATGTTTTGAGTCTTTTTTTCGTTTCCGTTAGAACCAGAGAGAAAAGAGAAGCACCCACCCACTCAACAATTGCCATCATTTTAGTTTTAAACGTTTCACGCACACAAAGAGAAAAAATGTAACGTTTTTTTTTTGTTGTTGATTCAAAAAATAAAATTATGTACACATACATACTTATATCGTTGGACCCTTTCTCTCGCGGCGGATAGAGTTGAATAGCGACGAAAAAAATGTTCGGCAAACCTCAAAATCAGAAACGTTTGTTTCGGAAATGCATTCAACTGCACATTCTTTGTCTTCCTCTCTCGCTCGCTCTCCCCACAGAGTAAAAAAAAATGCGTACTAATGAAAAATTGCGTCAGCACTCGTGCCACCAATAAAAGTTAGTGAATTAACTTGCTGCATTTTCAAACAATTTAATTTGTTTGTCATGAAAAAAAATTCACTTGCAAAATAAATGAATGGACGAATGAGTTGATGGCAATAAAATTTAATATAGCCACTGTTATGTGTTGACACAAACTGAGAATACTTTTTAATTTGTGTGTGAGCATGAAAAGAAACTTCGTTTTAAATGTGAAAGTGCATGTTTTAGGATTCCAATTAAATAACAAAAAAAAATAATTAAAATTAAAATTAAATTGCATTTCAAGAAGCACACCAAAACGACTCAGAAAAACAACAATGTTGTGAATTCCGTGAAAAATCGTCAGTTGTCGTTCAAATTTTTTTTTGCTCATGCAAGTCTGTAAATTTGATGAACGACTTTAGTGCCGAATTACACAAATGCCAGTCGTAAAATAAACAAAAAAAAAACAAATCACAGAACACAACCAAATGGGTGAAATAATTTGCAGATCAATAAAACGAGCTTGTGCAAAATAAATTGTATGACAAATTTCAAAAATGTCTAGCATGAGAGAAAAACCCACAATGATTTTCGATGAAATTTATGTAAATGTTTTCTCTCTTTCTGTCGTATTTGTGTGCAGTGCTGTGTTGCTGTTGTTGTTCTTTGCCTCCGAAATATTTGCCTACAAAATCATGCAAAAGCATAAGTTCCCTTGTAAACATGCACAATATTCCAACTCTTTAGTTGTACAAATTGGAATAATAAATGAACAAACACTATAAAAACATACTTTAAATGTTTCGCCTCTTTGTTCGGTTTTACTTGTGTTCGCTACTCTCTCTCTCTTCTTTGTTTTCATTTAGTCTCGAATATTGTGTTTGTTTTAGTTGCAGTCGTGCTTTACATTTCGACTTCTTTTTTTTTTCTTTCTCATTTCATTTAAATTTTTGTTGTTGTTTGCTTCTTAAATGTATGCAATGTACTTGGAATTACACGCAACGGCATCATCGCAAAATGTCTTTGGTTAGTTAATTTCTCATTTTGGAATGTTCTCTTTGTGTCGCCGATTTCTTTTGAGGCAAAAGAGTGAGGTTGAGAGCGAAGGAGAGAGAGTTTGTACATTGTTACCGCTTTGTAAGAAATGCGATGGTAAAAAGGGAAAAAAAAGACAGATTGAATATATGTTTCAAATGTTGCCTGTCGACAGAACTGTTTTGTATCGTTGTCACAATCGATTTCTAAGTATTTGGTAACTTTTGAAAAACTCTCAATTTCAGCGGGTACATGCTGCCGTTATTGTCGCGTCCATATACCCATATCGGTTCGATTGTGCAATTTGTCTCATGGCCGAAGGCAAATGCTGAATCACAGGAATACAACAAAAAAAGTGTATAATGGACTCTCCTTCTTTCGGTACTTAAAAGTACAAAACAAAAGACTTTTCCACTCGATGAGCAACCGAAAAAAAAAATTGGATGTAATAAAAACGCAACCAATAACCATTGCGGATTCCCCTCCTCACGTTTTTCCTCACTAAAATGTGGTCAAGAGAAATATTAAGAGCAGACTGTCTCATCTAAGTTTTACGCATGATTTTTTCCTTCCTGTCTCTGTCTTTTTCTCTCTGTTGCAATCTTTCAAAAATGAGCGATTTATTTTTTCAGGGTACAGTTGTATAATTACTTTTCACGTTAAGGGGCGACCATATCAGATGTTTGTTGTGCACAGCTTTTGTTTGAATATTTGTTTCCTTGTTTTGTAAATGGTCAGTTTACCATTGGCAACGCTTAATTTTTCACAAATTTTTGCCGTGCTTAACCGAAACTCTCTCATATGCGCGGCACCATGATTCTTTGATTAAAATATACATTTTCTATATAAACTACAATGACAAACGAATAATTTGCTTTTCACTTGTGTTGGCAGTTCCGTTTATTTCTATACCATGGCCTTTGTCGCAGATGGACTGTGAAATGCTATACCCAAAAAAGCGAGAAACACAAGGAATCGAAATGGAAATATGTGCGTTTTTTTTCTCATTGTTGCTGCTGTTGTTGTTCTTTTTGTTTTATTTTAAGATTAAAAATTGCCCCGAAGAGAATGATATGAAATGTTCGTATAAATTCAGTCTGTGTGTTTGAAAATTAACTTTTTCGAAACAATACGGTCGCCTGAAAACCATCAGTATTGAAACAGTCTGCATTGAAAATGAGATTGTGAGTTGAGTAAGTAATTTAAATGTTTGTGTGCATGGACTGAATTAAATGAAAATGAATTTTCAGAATTTTTGGACAGCGTGTGCCACTCACTCACACTCTGTCGTGCTCGCAAAAAAATGAGAGAAGAAACACCATCCGATATGCAAACTGATAAAAAGTACACACAAACCATTATAGACCTACTCGATTTATTCGGTCAGGCACATTATTTTTTGCACAGCCCAACCAAACAACCAACTTATAAAAATAGCACGCACCCGGAGATTTATATATATAAAGTATGAAACGGACGCGGTGCGCACACGTCTCGCCGAACGGCACATAAAATAATACAAAATAATGAAGTGCAGAAGGTCATTTTCTAGTGTAAAGATCAACATCGTTTTAAATTACAATTACCAAAGATGTTGCCATTCCATTAGCATTTTCACAATTTTTTGGAGCACACACACAAGTGCGCACACCACCTATATATATCCAATCTCACCAAATCAATGATACGATCCATTTGAACTTACACCGCAACGACACCAACTCGGTATACGCGGTGAATGGTAGATATTTTCTACATTGTTCAATTGCAAATGTGGGCGTGCCAAAAATCCATTTCTCATTTTCCAAACGTTTTAATTTGAAATTGTTAGATTTTACGATAGAGAATAAAAAAAAATGTAAA